ACATATTCCAATGAGAGTGAACCAACGGATCGTCGAATATCAAACTGCACACCTGATGGAAAATTAATAATGAGGGTTTTTATTGACGGCAAAGCCTTAATCAATGGAAGATCAAATCGAATATTGATTTCAAGAGAAACAAGACTTTGCACTTTGTATAATTTCGATAATAAGGATTGACCATCATCGGTTAATTCAATTAATTGTAATGAACGTAAGCGAGTAAATTTTTCGATTCGAAAGCGAGCTTGAAACAATTGAGATTGGCAAGGTGTTTCTTTCTCATCAGCTAGAATTAATGAAATAACTTGTTCCGGACGAATAAGACGACACACAAGATCAAAATGTGTTTTACGAATTGATTGAAAATTGATCATATATTTGTCATAATTGAATAGAATACGATTGAAATGATCGTTTATGTTAAAGAACATATGTAGAATTTCATGAGCCCAGAAATAATCGAAAATCATACGAAGAATTTCGATTGGAAATTGGTTTAGTGCGAAAGGCATGACTATCTAAAATTGAATGATCCAGTCAATAATATGAATATAAAAAGAGTGAATGAACATAGCAGCTGTCGACTTCAATTTATTTCATTATGTCTATACATGTTTTTTTTTTCTTGTTTTATTGACCAGTGGCTATATCGAATATATTCACATCATCGTTGTAAGCATGTGAACAAAGAGAAAAAATTATTGAAAGATAAACCAGCTGCTGCTCGTGGCGAAATTGATTCGTTCATTTATCTCCGTTGTGACAGCTTTATTAAATGTTTGCGATATCTATCATCAAGGTAAATTGTTTAATGCACCGCCACACTTGTTTATTTTTCTTCAACGATAGTGTAAAGTGTGCACGTGAGCTATTTTCAAATGATAACACATCAACTTTTGTTTATCAACAAGCAAAACATACAAGAGCAGTCGAATAAAATTCATTTCTATTGATGAATGTAAATGGTTGTGAATGTGGATACAGCTGAGGAGCAATAAAACATTCACACTCGTACATGCCTTTGGTCAATTTTTCGTTGTCCGCGATAAAATCAAATTTTCTCTCTTGACTAACTGTCGTTAGGAAATCTCGATAGATTTTTGTATATTCTCTTTCTAGAACTAAGCCATGCATGCTTATCCAGCTAGAGAAATCGATAAAAAACTGTACTATTGACCAGTGTAGCAATACCAAAAATAATTTCTTTGTAGAAAAAAAATGAATCAAGAAAATCATTATCGAGTTCTCAGCGTCGATGAGAATGATCACACAAGCTTATCGTAAGCAAGCTCTTTTACTTCATCTCGATAGAAGTTCAGATCCGAATGCTACCGAAATGTTTAAAGTTCTTCAACAAGCATATGAAACTCTTTCAAACGAAGCTACTCGTAATGAATACAATACCAATCAGGATTTCGATAATGATGGCGATGACGATAATGATGTTCTATTTGATGATCATAGTGAACGAGCACAATTGCATATGGGTAAAAAATGGTCCGAAAATTTTGTCGAAAAGATAAATACATGAACAAACGAATGTCAATATTTGAATATTTGTGATAATTTTCATGAAGAATTTACCACCATTTTGATTGATATACTTGAACAGTTCGATGATTATTTTGACAACAACGGCGAGATCAATAAATGCAGTGTATGTTCCACATGCAAACAATATTTTCTACATCTAGATGATCATGAATATCGAGTTACAAGATCGTATCAAAAGACTCGTCGATATCTAAAACTGAAATGCTTGCAGAAATCGAAAAAATTTTAAAAGATTCTATCAAAACCGAGTATTTGGAACTGGCAGCCATCTATGTTGTCAACTGAATACGCTTACATTTGGTCAAGTTCTGAGTGGCAACGTATCAAAACGATGATCGATCAACTAAAAGAACCTATTCGAATCGTACAATCAAACTCGCTGATTGATAGCTGAAGTATTAACATAAATAAGAGCAGTAATCATTATAGACGATGTGAATGTTATGAATATTTACTGGATAGAATTGCTTTCGAACGGGTTGAAGCTGTCTTCTATGGTTCAACTCATTGGGATACAAGCAAACTCGTCAGGCACAACCAACATAGTTCTGGGAACAAGAATACCTATGTTTGATAGATTTTGTATCGAATTTAAGAACAGCGATCTGCTTAAGTGTCATATCAATGTCGACGATTTTTATTATACAGTTCAAAACTCACCGCAACTGTTTTTGGTCGAGTTTAGACATGAATTGTCAGGATTGTGGAAAAAGATTTCATCTATTTCGCCATCATTATTGTTGTCATATGTGTGGTGTAACAAACCGTTATAATTGTCTACTATCTGCTAGTGTTCCTCATTTGGACTATGTTAAACCAGTTACAGTATGCAAAGCATGTGCACATGAGATACCAAAAATAGAATGATCAGACTGTATACAATTGTCTGAAGCAGGCAATTGAAAAAGTTACTTCAAATTGTCGTCACACTTATTTAGCCTTACTTCGACAGTATAGGCAAGAAGGTTTAATATCTTATTATAAACACCCTGGACAACATTTTTTTCAATTACACTATTACTCTTTAGCATTACAGTGTTATTGCTATTCAAAAATACAATAGAACGAATTATTAAATATTATGACAGTGGAGTGTTTCAAAAGAAATACTCTCTGGCAGTTTCTTGCATTCGTTTGATATCAACAGCAGATCGACGAATTCTATTTGAGCAATGCACTGAATATTGGACACTAGCAAAATCATCGATTGATGATTCATATAATTATGCGATAAAGAGTCTCCTGTTCGACGAACAATTAAAATTAACTAGCCAAGATTTATTATCAAAATGTGTTTATTTCGATGAAGCCAATAAGCATGACGAGTGTCTGCTATATATTAAGTCAAAACATTATGAATCAATCAATTGGATAGAGTTAGGTGAAGAGTTTTTGCAGAAAAATCAACTACGATTAGCATTATTTTGTTTTTACAGTGCTAAACTTATCATTGATACATGGATTCAGCATCTTGATCGATTGTTTTGCAAAAATCAGTATTCAATAGTAACAATAATATTACTCTTTATTAATAAAACGATGTATGACGATCTAGTTAAATTAGATAAAATTGACAATCCTATTGTTTTTTTATTTAAGTAAAATATTATTATCAACCGATAATAAACTAGACGATTGGATTGATCATACAGTTTTATCAATGAAAAAAAAAACGCTGAAAATATTCAAATTATTTGGTGTTTAGCATTGATACATGCCTATTTTGATTCGAATTGAAATAAACTCAAATTTTCTTATTACTCGCAACATAAGCATGAACAACTGTTACTGAGTGTCAAAATGGAACTATAGCTCTCAGCAATAATGACGATATATTATTGCAGTTCTGTGGAGATCTACTGCAAACAGACTCATCATTAGCCATAGAAATACTAAATACTTCAAAGATTGAGTGGCAAAAACTTGGAGACTATAATTTCAATGAGAGAAAATATGAACAAACATTACATTGTTATTTACAAGAGAATTCCGAAATTATGAATACGTAAGTGCGGAGAATAGAAATTCTAATAACATTTCCAATATAATTGAGAATATACTAATAACTAAAATTATTATCCTCTGTTTATAGCTACCTTTTATCACAAACTTCAAAATGTCATGATACGGACTTCGTTTTTCTTTTTAATGTTGCTGTTTATCATCGAACAAAGTTGAACGAACACTATTTGTCAAGCTTAATCAATCGTTTTTATCAACTTTTACTTTTATCAAACGAAACAAAAAAGTGTCTATTGATAGAAGCAATTAAAATCAACGAACAGCTATCAATCAAAAGTACTCAAACCTTATCAATCCACGAATTTGTCAAAATAGTCGAACAGATCAGCGAGCAAACCGTCTCAAGACCTTCTATTGAATGACTGCATTGGTAAACAAAAATTATCGGAGTTAAAACTTTTACAATATCGCTCCATGATGCATATCATTGAAGCACAAATATTGAAACTTCAAAATAAAATTTCACAAAGTTTGATAAAACTCAATGAGGTACTTCTTTGCTGTCCAACTCATGATGTTATTGAAGGCATTATTTACTTTTTGAAACAAGTTTATTTTCATGAAACAATAATTCAAACATTAGTCGACAATGTAAAATCAATAAAATTGGATTTTCATCAAACTGGATCGATTGATCTTGTAAACAGTATCATGATCGATGTCCAATTACTCGATATGACATTAGTTGGTAATGGTCTTAAGAAGACATCACAACTAACTATGATACGAAAAAATGAACGAGCCGTTATTAAAAGAATGAAAAACAAATCTATAAATGCTGCTCTCTCTCCTATATTGATTTATCCATGGCTGTCAAACATATAACATGTATTATATCGAATTTTGTTTTAGCTGGCTTATATTTCTATGAAGTTCTACAACAAACTTCTGATACTTCAAAAGTCTATGCATATAGAAATGTTATTATGGATCTGGTGAGTCAGATTTTCTCCTTAGCACAGCGTTATTTGGTACTTCACAAATAATCTTAATCGAATTATTGAAAGATACAATTCTGGTTTCGAGAATATCACCTCTCTCTCAATTACCGTTGTCACATAGTTATGATTTATTATACACTGAGGTTATTTGACAAGAATTACTTTCAAAATTTTTAATAGATTCAGCAAATAGTGAGAGCGGCACATTATATCCACCGTATCTATATCAATACTATGTATTTGAAGGTGTATGGTGAGGACGGATAAAAGATGAAAATTTTGATACTGCCCGATTTAATTGCATGCAATCACTGCTCAGTAAACAAAATTGAAATATGCTCGATGTTCAAAACCTTTTGAATTGTTTGCACTTACAACGAACTGCTGATGGATGGTTACCATCACAGACTTATCCTCTCAATCTTGATCATAAAAATCGATTCATGCATGTCAATGACATATCATTCAATATTAATACAGGAGAAATCAACTTTTTATTCCAAATAGCTCAAGCAAATGATCAAGCATTATTTGACGCACATGATGTTCATGAAGTTTTAACAAAAGGTATTACAAATTCTTGGGGTGTTGGTGTGGGTGTGGGTGGTGTGAGGATGTGGGTGTCAATGCCCGTTTCAGTACTACCAGAGAGGAGATACACATCTAGACCCTACATACTCACACGTACACCCCACACCCACACGTACACCCCACATTCACAGCTACACCCCACACCCACAAACATCGACACCCACACCCACGCACACACCCAGACACCCACACTCACACACCCACACCCTCACACATCCGCACTCAGAAACACCCACGCCCACACATCCACACCCCATATCGAATAGAAAAACAATGAAAAGTAGAAAACTCCTAGAAATAATCAATACATACTAAAATTAGTAATCTCTTGTTTATTTTTATCTGAGACATTGACGCTATACATCAACAATCCTTCTTTGGCCAATTTCCAGCACTATTCAGATTTAGAAAGAGCAAATAGATCACACATACAGTACTACTGTATTGAAAATATATTTCTCACTCGCTCTTTCTCTTTAAGTTATATATCCCTGCCACTGTGCGCAAATAGAAGGAGAACACGACACTTGCTGTTTTTGTTGTCTTGCTGAGTAAAATTTACATAGACAAGGACAGCATAAACGACAAATATGGTGAGTTATAATCAAGCTACTGATATAGTTTGAAGTACAGAGGACATACTTTACAGGTATATCCAAAAAAGTGAGTGAAGATTGTTTTCTTGTATATTTCTTTATTCATTCTTCATCTCATATTTTATATCTTCCGGTGCGTATTTTATCTATGAAGGGTTATAGAATACTCGATCATTGTAAAGTAATCAAAATGTACAGAATATATTATTAGCTAGCTTATGTGCGAGAACTCAGAAAAGATTTTCTATCGTTTCATTTCTTTCATTTTTCATCGTATGATTTACTGTGACGTTTGTGTAATTAAGACAAGTATCTATTCTAAATTAGCTTTTTGCTATTTCATTCATGACTTGTTAACAAAAATACGTACAATATCAAAATAAGTGTCGAGATCAATGATTTGTTGATCTGAACTGAAATACAAGTTATAGGTCTTTAATAACCTCTAGGTACCATTCTTAAATTCTAGAAAAGCTTACTGTCTAATGAAAAAAATCAATTTGAAATTTTTTTCTACGGAATATAAGATAGGCAATATTTTCTGATGATAATATACTTCAACCACAAGAACTGATTCGTATTTTTTTTTATGATTACATAATAACAATAAGAATTGCTCCTGCATATATATTTCTACAATAGTCTCTTAGAATAAAATAGCACTTGTCTTCAATGAAGATCTATATTTTGTATGTAGACAATAGAAAAAAAAAATGCTCTACTGGCAAATCAAACGAGATTTTTTATCATTATTCAACCGCAACGATGCTACGAAAAATCATTTTGATCCAATCGATGGCCTACGAGCTATTGCTAGTCTACTTATT